GAGAGAGAGAGAGAGAGAGAGAGAGAGAGAGAGAGAGAGAGAGAGAGAGAACACGGGAGACGAGTGCACGGGAGACGAGGACAAACATCAGCGTAATACGCGCTCCTGGGAGCGCGACGTTCGATGGTAATGTCGCATGACAAGCGTGTGCGCGCGCGCAAAAACCGGTTCGTAACGGCTCCGTGTTTAACGTTGTACGTACACACGGTGGCATTATCGGTGACCGGACACACGGCCGACGAGAGGTTAGCCGACGTAACTGACCACGAGCAATCCCGGCGGCGCTGCCGCGTCGCCGTTATTGTCGCAGGAGAGGCTGGAGTATCCGCCCTTCGCTCACCCCACGGGCATCACGCCTGGTTACCTGAAGACCCTGCTCAACAGATTCGGTCGTGCGAACAAGATCCGTCTGAGAGCTCTCTTGGACGACTGGCGAGGGCTGGATCTGCCGGAGACGAGCCTCTACCGAATCCTCGTGACGGCCGATTTGCCGGTGCACGGCGGGCACTATGACTTCTATCGATTCCTCGCGGTCGCCTGCGGATTTTTCGGGAACGTAAGTCGCCGTTCAGGGCGCCGGAAACGACCGCCGTTCGTTCCCTTCAGTCGCGGCCCACCGCGTCCGCAACGATCCTCGAGTTCCCCTTTTTCCTTGAGCGAAAAAAATACGAGGGATTAGTTCGGATATCCGTTTGACTCATCGCGTCTTAATCCGTACGGGCTTTCCTCCTTTCTGTCTCTTTATTTCTCTCTCTCTCTCTTTTGCTCTCTTTTCTCCCGCGATCTTCTACCGTCGACAGAGTTGACCAGCCGGAGGGAGCAGAAAAGAAAGAAGAAAGTAGAGCGAAATATTTGTCGAAGATCAACGGATATTTTCTTTGTCCGTCTGGATGAACCGCGGAAGGAGGAGCGTTTTATATCGCTAAGCAGATCGATCGACTCTCCTGAGCTCGGCAGAGTAACGCCATTAATTGTATCCGGCCGCGGCTGTAATTCACCCCCTGCGAAGCCCCTTGCTATCTCTCTTCCTTCTGCAGACTCTACTCGAGACGATGATATACGTGTGCGAGTTACTGACGCACGAGCCGGAAGGCGGCTCGGCCATGATACCCCTGAGGATTTTCTTGGATCTCTACGGCTACCTCGCGGATCTCGATTGCAGCGGCCAACGTCACCTGCGGGAGTATCTCCTCCTCGTGGTCGGTCGAAGTGGCGATCCGTTGCCGCCGCCGCGCGACGCGACGTCCGTCTCAGAGCTGTCGTCCGGCCCGATCGATCCGGTCGCCGCAGCTTGCAGCTGCGAGTTCGCAGAGGAGAAGGTATCGCGCACACAGCGGAGTTCCTCTTCCGGTTGAATAAAACATCCGGAGCTGACGTCGCTCCTCCGTTTAACGCGGCCGGCGACTCCTCGTTTTATTATCGGCTCGGTGGCGCGTGAGAGTCGCACGCCGAGTCGGGCAAAACTCGACTCGGCAAGGCTAGTTGCCTCGTGACCGTTAATGGCGATCTCTCGCGCTAGAATATCCCATTTTTCCTTACACCCAAGGTAAAAATAGCTGTTCCTGGACGCGTACCTATCTCTGGACATCTCTGAGTTGAAATCTTAATATTACCCGAGTGGAAATAAGTAACCCGGCCTGAATCAAAGGCTAGTAGCTAGCTGGTGCAGATTAAATTAAATTTTTTAGCTCGTTACTAATTCGTTACTCGTTGACTATTTACTGAAATGTAGAATCAAAGTTGTGATCTAGCCGTTGTCTATCCATTACAATATCAAATATGATAGAATAGATAACGCTGTGTCTGCGCTAAAATACATGATCTAGATATTATATCACTATCAACATTTTTAAATTGGGTAACAAATAGAAATTGAGATTATGTTAACTTCATAAAAATTTCAAAAAAGCAGAATTGAACGTTACATTACTGACTAACAACTACTTATGGTTTCTCATCTCGTAACTAATTAAACTTGTTTAATCATCAGCTAACTTATTTATCTAACCACTAAGAGAAGTGAGCTTACTGGTTAGTAGTGGTGTTAGACACAAATTTACTATCTCGTAGCTAGACACCCACGAAGTTCAATTTCTACTAGCGTGCTGTCGACCTCAATATTCCATTTGACGTCTACTTTAACACTCTGAAGCTTATATCAACCTCTTTTGATTCTGTTTAACCTACTAACTTTGCCAAGAGGCTCTGTAGAACCTATATGTGGCATTTTGTGCGTTTTCTGTTATTAGAGGCACTAAATTTTACTTCAGTTTCCATATATATTCCATATATATCCTTCAAAATATATAGATGTTAGAAAGTTCAGGTTGAAAGAAGAGTTAAAATTTTGATTCGGACACTTCTATTGTTTTGGTTTTCAAATTCAAATATTTAAATTTGTAACAGAGTATATATATATATATACACGTTGAAAGTTTAAATACTTTTATTTAAAAACAGAAAATAAGAATGCAGCATCAGGCATGTGTCCAGGCATCGATACTTTTATTTTACGTAATACGCAGGTGTCGTAAGACGGATGATGAAACGGAAATTTTAAGATGAAAGTAGCTGATCCTGAATATTCTTATGATTTTGTGTGGTTATTAAATATTCAAACTTTGTATATACGTAAAATGTACATACATATATTAAAGAAATGCTTGAAAGTTCAAATAACTGTGTTTAAAAACCAAAGCGATAAGAATTGTTCAGAATCAGGTATGTGTCCGGGAATTGATACCTTTACCTTACTCGCGTCGGATTCCGGCCTTAAATCTTCGTCTTTGAAGAAAATGCCATTTTTGTGTCACTTTTTTTTTACTCGTGGATAACTCCCTCTCGGTTAAGATTACATGGCCGTTGAGTAGCACCGCGAGAGGAGACCGTAGTCTTTCCACCGACTCGCGAGGAATCCGTCCTCGATCACGTAACGTGACCATTTTTAATATCGCGAAGGGAGCTCCCGCTAAATTTCCCATACCTCCTCGCCGCGATCTCGTATAATTCACGAGTTCCGCCTTGCAGGTCGACGTTTCTCGATACACGATAGGTATGGCCGGTTAATTTTACTCCTAAACCTCGTTTTAATAGAACCCTCACATTCGGGAACGTAGTTACTGACACGTCTCACGTCGCGGCCGACGGTAACTCGGGTCGTGGCGAAAAAAGTCGACCTCGGGTGAGATTTTCGCGACGGGAATGTCTATACTCGTCAAGGACCCGACGAGGGGAGGGAAGGGGGATACAACGATGTTAACAATGTACATATGCGCGCGTTGCATATAAGAGCGTTATTATTAGACGCAATGATATTACACGAGCTTACTTGCCAGCAGCAGGTAGCGGTAGATTTGACTTGCGATAGCACAGTTCCGAGGGACGCAATTAACGTTTATTTATAAACCTGCATTCGCAGCAGCATGCGCGCGCGCGCACACACAGTTTGGACACAAGGTACGTGTGGCTCGCTTTAACCAAGGGCCCCCGCATTGTAATCCCGCGGATTATAATTATAATAAAGTTATATGACCGCCTTGCGCGTTCTGTGTGCGAGAAGAGTACAATGTGCGCGCGCGTATACCGGCTCGAATATACACCCGCATATTTGATGGGTGCTTTAATAATTGCGGAATGCATTTTCAGTTCGACGCGTGTTTCAAAGGGCGCCCCTTGCGACGTTTCAATCTTCATGCCGCGGTGATTTCGCAGCGTTCATTAATCGCAACGGTCCGTATCGCGGTGTTTAAATAACTGGTTAATCAAGATACATTAATGCAGCTAATAATTTTCCGTTTCGACACGTTAATATAACGTTTCGCGGAAACGTTATATTAACATCGCGCAAAAAATGGCGCTTAATGCCGCGAAATTAATGGACCGCCGGCCGGGAGTGGGATGGGATTGAAGCGCGCCGTGACACACGGAAGTCACGGTTGGCGAATTACGAGCGCGTAACGACGTATAATGGATAAAATTTAATGAATTTCGGGAGAGAGAAATTCTCTATGTCGATAGCCTTGCGTTTTGCGTGCGCGCGTATAAGCGCGCGCTCGCGAAATAAGCCGCTTCCGCTTTGCAGAATTCGCTCTTACGACTGAACTGTCTCTCCATCTCTCTCACATTACACGCGGCCACTGCATATTTTACACACACGTTCGCGTCTACGGACCATACGGAATAAGCGAAAATTCGCCGGTTCGCGACTATTCTACGTAACGTTCGCGACACTGCCAGGAACGCGGTGGTGGTCGAAAAGTTTTTACCGATACACCGGAAAAAAATCTCAGCTGAGTAGTTGAATTAAATCTCCGTTACCGCAATCGATGATAATTTGTCTGAGTATTTTCAGTTGTATTAAAACTTGGTCGCAAGAACTGCACACAGAGAAGTATCTTTCTACTGTTAAGAAAAGTGATTTACTTTCAATTCACTTTCCTACTTTTGAGTAATAGTTATCTTCAACAAAGAATATTTTTTGGTTATTAATATAGTCTTGAAATATACACTCATCACAAATTTGAGAAAAGCTTATTATCATGCACTTAGGAGAAGAACTCATTCTCTTTATAAGAATATTATAAAACTCTATCCAAAGAAAAATTAGTTTGACTTTGTAAATTAAGCAAACCGAATTTTTGTTTGAATGTAATATTCTTGACTGAAATGCTAACTTACTAGGATTGAGAATATATTTGGAGTAAATTTAACGCTGGAATTAATTTATGATACAGATTTGTGGATCAACTTGTAAAATACTTGAAACAAGTAGCATTTGCTTGAATGCAATGTGCACTTGTCTGTGTGTGTGTGAGAACAATTGACTGAGTAGAAACCTGCTATAGGAATCTTTCTGCTCCTACAATCGAATTTTTCATCCGTTACCTATTCTTACCAGAGAAGGAAAAATTCAGTTACACTAACGGAATTGTTTCTTCCGTGCACAGAACGTGTCTTTATCTGCAATCCATAAAATCTATTTTCTTATTACCCACACTTTGTGCTAAACTAATTCACACGATGAAGCGTGCCAATTCGCTCTCTAAATTTTTTTTAGTGAAATCTCTTTAAGTTTTTCGAAATTTCTTAGAGTGAAATTTTCATCCAAAAAGCAGAGATCAGCCACTCGGATTCGAGCGATTCTTCACTCATCTAGAGTGAATTCTCCGTTCTGAATCAATATCTTCCTTCAACTTATATAACCAAGAGGGAGATTTGATTTACAATAATATTCTTTAACCACAATCTATTCATTATGTATTTCTATCTATCTAATTATTAATATCCTTTTAGTTACATATTTAAAATATTTTAATAATTTCCCCTGTCTGACCGTCTATACTTAACTTAATACGCTAAAATTATTCCAAATTCGCGCACCACGTCAATCAAGCATCCACGCCATTTAACCTTTTTCTTTCTGAATCGTCAGCAGAATATTTTTATTCGAAATTGAAGAGTGAATCTGATATATTCCACCGGAAACAAATTCACTCAAATCTATTGAAACGTTCTCTCGGCATCAGAGTCCATTTGAAGCTTAAGCGAAGCGTCCCTTCTTACGATTTCGAGTGGCGGTCTTTTCACTCTCGCCTCGAGTGAATTTTCATTGGTTCTTAGTGAAATTTTACTCCGAGAGTAAAATTCGAGTTTATCTGTTTGCACTTAAGACCGACGTTTTCGGGAAGATATCGCGGAGCGTGCTATAAAAACGCATCAGCGAATTGCGATCGTCGATAGTCTTTATAGGCGTTCAGTCGGAGCGGATCAGTTCCGTCTGTCAGCGTCGAGAGTCTTTAACGTTGACTTTATTGGGCAACCAGCTCGCGTTCGATCAAATATGTGTCACTCCCGACGAGGGTGTTCTCGGACAAGAGGAGCTGCCTTGCGCGGAGCAACTATCGGAAAGCCTCCGGATTTTGAAGGATCACAGAGACGACCCGAAGCTTTGCGTGGTCGGCGGGCCGGCATCGCCGGGACAGTCTGCCGCCAACGATAAAACCGAAATTGAGATCGAATCAATTGATCGTCACGTCGCCGCCGGGGAAAATAGCGAGGTATAGCGCGCTACGTGTGAACGCGAGAGAGCACCGGAAAAACGATCGGTCACTCGGAATTTTGCGACCTGGACGATTACGTCGTAAAATATGCGGGATGGCGGCTCGTCGCAGCGCAGACGCGCCCCGTCCACGTCGGAGAACGGAAGGCGGACATTGATTTCGATAGTTCAATCAGTGTCGGTCGTGCGAAAGTAGCAGCCGGGGCATTTTTGAGCACGCAGACATTTTATCGAGACCGCGGGAGATTCTTCGAGCATCGTGTAGTTCACACATATACGCACACTTCCACATACCTATACGAAAAGGAAGATTTATTTGTTTCAGAATCAGTCCGCTTAATTCATTAATAAGAACAGAATACTCGCAGAGAATATCATAGTTGTTTTTTTTATATAAATTCTTTTTAATTTTATTATATCCTATATAAGACATCCAACAAAAAAAAATATAAGTAGAACAGATAAAAGTGAACAAATATTGTAGAGGTCATTTTTCAAACAACCACGTAAAATTTCGAGATATTAATTAAAATAGTTTCACATATCAGAGCGCGCGATGCGGCAGGCGGGACATACGGCTCGCCGCGGCCGGCGAAAAAAAATGGACGAGCGCACACCTACACGGACGCACACACGGAGCTACCCATTTCAATATGCCAAACGGTCCACCTCTCTGGCCTATAAGATAGGTCCGCGAGCAATTGTCCATTTTCTTTGCCGGCCGCGGCGAGCTGCGCTCTGATTAGTCCAAATATTTTAATTAATATCTCGAAATTTTATGTGGTTGTTTGAAAAATGATCTATAATATTGATTATAAATGATTATAATATTTGTTCACTTTTATCTGTTCTACTTATATTTTTTTTCTTAGACGTCTTATGCAGGTCACTCTCTATATATGTTTCTTCAGTAATGTAGGAATAGTCTCAGTAAGGTCTGTCTTACACAGTAAATTCTGCTAGAAAAAAATCGTATATTTCACTTCTTAAAATATGAATAACATACATGAAAAGTCAATTACTGCAGAATGTTGATCCATTTTTCGGTTATAAAATTTTATAGCAGTCTTTATTATTCTTTATTATTAATTCTCGCTATATAATATTTAAGTAAAAAGAGTGACTTCTTCCTAACCTAACTGATCAGGAATATTGATCACACTGGCTAATTTCTGATCAATAATTCACTAAAAAATATTGAAAATATTTTCTTTCTCAGTTCGGAATGATTGTTATATAATAAATACTAGCCAGTAAAAGCAATTTTTAGTTAGTGACTGAGGTTTCTCCTGGAAATTATTCTACTTATGTAATAATAACAATTGATAATAATTCAATAACAAGCGTGATTAATTCTTTACATAGAAATTTTCTTGGGATCTAATTGGGATCCAATCAAATTCCCTAACTAGAGGCTTCTTGGTTGCAAAATCTACGCAAATATAGACTAGAAGTCTAATATTTTACACATAAATATAAATACAATGTTCGTGATAAGAGTAGAGTTGCTAATTGATTTCAATCGAGATAATTAATTTTGAAAGAAATTTGAGCATTCAGATTCAAATCAATATCAGCTCTCGGGAGAATTTAGAGAATCCCTATGCTCTTGATAATACGCGAGGTCTGTATCAATAATCGTTATTTGAAACTTGCCTCAGGTGAGGTACCCAGGTTTGAATTTAGAGTTAGATGTTCTCAGTTGAATCGCGCGATTACAAACATGATGTGTCACATATATTACATAATTCAAATAAGAAACTCAGATCTAACTCTACATTCTCAGATCTGAGTATCTCGTGTGGGACAAGTTTCAAGTAACGACTATTAATGCGAGCCTCAGTGGCCCGATCGTTGGATTGCCGGGTAACTTCGACTTCGATGATCGAATGACAGGATCAGAGAAACGAACCCTTTCAGTCGACGGTCCAAGCGGACGTTGGGGATCCTGCGATCGCCGATCGCGACGGTCGTCACGACAACGCTCGTGGGAGTCCCTCAGAACGCAACTTTGGCTCCCCTGAGACCGCCGTTGATGCATCCGAGTTTAACTGGGAGGGCGAAGAGGAGTTCATAGGGGAAGCGGAGGCGATCGACTACGAGACACCTACTTCGATCGATCCTGAAAGCTCGGGGAAGTCCTGCGAATGCAGGCCCGAAGAGCCTGAGAGCGACCAGGCGCCGACGCCACCGCCCGATCCGCTGCATGACTTCCTGCAGAGGATGCGAGCGGAGGTGGAGGCGGGTCGTCTGGAAACGATTTTCCGTTTGCCCGGAATCGGCCCGCCGGTCTCGCCGGAACGTGTAACGGCCGTCGGACTGTGGCTGGCCGACTGCGCTCGTCGTCAGGAGGGTCTGGTCGGGCCGCGAAACATCCGACACTTTCTCTGTCCGAGTCTCCACGACGTCGCGGAGTGCGATTGCCCATAAAATAAAAGTTTTGCTCTTTAAATACGAATATTTTTAAACTTTCGACACATAAAATACATGTCTACGAGTCGCAGTAACCATTTAAACTGAAATATCTTGATAACTGCAGTATTTTTTAAATAAGAAACAAAGGTGATTTTCAGATATTCTTTTAGAGCGTTTTTTGTAGTGGTAACGCTTTTTTCAAAGTAGAGTAATTTTGAAGATCTCTGAAGGTCAACTTTGCTTTTTGCTGCGAAGATATTGCAGGTGGCAATAGTTATTGCGTCTCACCCTATGTGTATGTATAATTTCAATTTATATATATATGTATTTTTTTTTATTATATTATAATTTTATATAGTAAGTAACGTATACGTATCGCGCTTGTTATTCCGCTTCAGCTGTTTACACAGAGTAGCGGTAGGACAGGCTCTGTGTGTAAAAGAAATGGCTTACTTCTTAGCAACGATGAGTAAACAGCTGATTTCGAAACGAAGTAACAAGCGATACGTATACATTATTTACTATATAAAATTATAATATAATAAATAAAATATATATAAAATAAAATAAAATAAAATATATATAAAATAAAATAAAATAAAATATATATAAAATAAAATATATATAAAAAAAATATATATATATATATATATATATATATATTTACACAGGGTGAGCCGCAATAACTATTACCACCTGCAATATCTTCGCAGCAAAAAGTTGACCTTCAGAGATGTTCAAAATTACTTTACTTTGAAAAAAGCGTTACCACTACAAAAAAAACGCTTTAAAAGAATATCTGAAGATCACCTTTGTTTCTTATTTATTATATATATATAGCTGTTTACTCATCGTTGCTAAGAAATAAGCCATTTCTTTTATAGCCATTCATTTATACATTTTAATTAATTACGGAATAAATATTGAGAAAATTTCAAAATAATATATAACTTTTATGATTATTTTGACCCGTTCTACCCGGCGATTGCTTGATCAGTTATCGGACACCCTGTATATATGTATTTTATGTTGAAAGAGTTTAAATATTCGTATTTAAAACAATAATAATGTTTAGGATTATGTACGTATCTTGACACTCATTACTTTCACCTTAATCAACATCTCGCGAACATCTCGACACACGGCGTCCTCGTTAATACTAATGACGTCAGAAAAACGAAACTGTCCCGATCGCTAAATAATTTTCCGGTAGTCTCCTGTGAAAGCTTCACGTTCTCAAGCTTTCATATTCGCACCTGGCGATGTGTGGCAGGTTAAGAAGTTCTCTCTCTCTCTCTCAGAAATGTCTAGAAATAAATATTCATATCTAAGTTATGAGATACGAAGAGCAGACGTGTTGCGCGTGAAATAAATGTGCCCACGCGACTACTCGCGTACTAGAAAGGTGCATAACGACGAGGTAACGAGACCCGTTCTCTCTCGACGGGGTTTGTCATGATTCCACGCAAATTAATTCGCACGTTCCCGACGCATTTTTATTGCGTTAAACAATACAATGTGTTGTACGGGCACCTTTGATTCGAGATTCTGTGCGCACGGTAGTTCGCGTGGGCGCACGTGTGTGGGGACGGTTATTGAAACGTTGTACAACAATCCATTCCCTAAACTCGTTGGAGTGAAATTTCACTCAAAGAAGACTGGTCACCGGCGAGTCACTCGTATTCGAGCGATTTTTCACACATACGGAGCGAATTCTCCGCTCTGAATGGTCGAGCGAGTATTTCCACTCAGGGGTTGAAAGGGGGGGATGAATGCGATGTACTCCACCGTTCGAGGGACATACGCGCTCCAATCAAGCGAAAGGTTCGCTCATATCGGGAATCCAGAATCCATTCCAAGCTCGCTCTTGCGACTTCGAGCAGCAGTGTCTTCGCTGTCGCTACGAGCGGAAACACTTTTCGCGGATTTCGCGTGAGATACCACGCCAAGAAACTTGGAACAGCATTGTGACGTGTCGGGCAAAGTTGGCGCGTTAATGACGACCATCGTCATTATGAAGAGGAGAGAGCGGAAGAGAGCGTCGGGGAATCGTGGGGAATCCTGGCTTCACGAGAAGGATCGTATACGTATCGTCGCGCCTCCGATACTCGCGCACGGTTGCACCCACGTCACGTTTTTATTTCGCTACACGTACCTATCGGGCGAAAGAGCACACCGGGCTCGCCTTCTTCGCGGCGCGGGGAAGAGAGGCGCGCGCATAAAAATCTATCTCTTTCCTCCGGCGACGGCGGTGGCGGAAGTGAGGAATCGATATTCCTCGCGAGGGGGCACGTGTCCGTTATTTTCTGCAACTGCCGCTTCCATTGTGCGTTTTGTCAATTCGCCGTTTGCCGTATCGGCAACAACTCTGTAATCGATTATTGGCCGAGTTATTATTGGTATCACGGTAGCACAATATTGACATACACCGGTCAGCTCCGGGGTCCATAACCCGAGCTCGTCTCCTCTCTCCCTCTCCTCCCTCATCGCCTTCCGCACCCTTGCCATTCTGAGCCCTGAGACGCGTTCCACGGGATTTACTCGGATAGCTCGGCGTGATCGTTTCGAGTCCCGACATCGAGGCAAACAGTGCTACGGGCACGTGCTGCGTTTTTTGTTCTGGGGGTAGTAAAGACGCTGAAATTTCAAATCGTCTTCGCGCGCCCCGCACGGTGGGAAAATTCCAATCGGCGAGTGGCCGACTGACCGAGCGATCGGAGGGCTGCAAAGGTCCGCGGCGGGTAGTTTCCGTAGTGCTCTCTCGAAATAACAGCAATTCTGCTACCGTCGAAATTCGCCGGCAAAAATCGCGCAAGGGGGCCGCACAGAGAGCGATTTCGACGCACTAGAGTCACATGAGAGGGGCAGGAGGAGGGTTTATCCACGGCCCACAGCATGCCGTTTTTCCGCAAAAATCACCAGCCGGGGGAGAGGTCATTGCCTCCGATCCCAGTCGCGGGAGAAAACGTTTTTCGTCCCGGCGTCCCTCGTGGAAATAAATTTTCGCTGCTTCCTTCGATCGAATTCGCTTTTCGTTGCGCGCGATTTTCGCTCTGCGGTTGTTCGCCGGCTTGCGGCTTTGCTCGATTCCATCAACGGTGAATAAACTGCCGATTGACATTCGCGTCGGATAACCAGAGCTCTCTCTCCCTCTCTCCATCCCTCCCCCCCCTCTCTCTCTCTCTCTCTCTGAGAGAAATGAAGATAACTGTCACTAAATCAGGCATGTTTTTGCTGGTTCTTGTTTGTTTTCTTTTTATTTTGGTCTTGCACTCTCTACACATCTTTCTTACATACCAATTCATATGTGCATTATAAATTATTTTCAATAATTTATATTATTTGCTGTTATTTTTATACTATATTTCCGTAATTTTGAGAGGATGATGTCTCAAAGCACAAAAACAAAACTCTCTCTCTCCCTGTCTCTCCCTCTTTTTCTCTTTTCCTTTTTTCTTAACGCCATTTCGTCGAAAAGCGTTTAATCGCGAAAAGATATCAGACGCCCCTTGCGATTTCGCGACGCCGATTCATCGGGCGTCGTGCAAATGCAAATAACTGTCTGCAACGTTTGAATAATTCCATTTGACTCGATACCACGCGCTCCCTATCGTCAACTCACCCCCTTCCCCCGCGAATAAGAGGAAAGGACGGCTAAATTAGAACGGAAGCTTCGCCGGCCGCCTCGCATCTATTACGATAATCGACGACGAGGCCCCGACACTCCCGCCCTCGCAAGTGACCGCCATCTCCACGTGGATTCGGTATGGTCGCAGGAAACGCGAGCGTTATCCATGGTTATCCGCTACACGTCGCGCCGGACTCTCCACTTTCGTACGCCGAGCGTAACCCGGGCGATTAGATGGCTCAGAAACGAAATCGGCTCCGCGCGCTTTCCTGATAAAGTCGCTCGAAAAGTCCGTTCCCTTATACGTGTATAAAAGGGGGGAATCTCTTCCCTTCGCCGTCAAACGATCGTGAAACTTTGTTGCGATGTCTCCGACCGTGGTCGCATTGTTCTCCGCGCTTTTGTTAATGTCCCGGAACGTCCGCGGCTGGTACATCGCGTTCCCGAACAACAGCGCGCCTTTCGCCAACGATCTTCGCGACTCTTCGCCGGAGTGGACGCCACCCTTGATATTTCCAGGTGGGATCTCCCGTCGTCCCTGATCCCCCCGCGTGTTCTCACGCGAATACCGTCATTGTGACGTAGCTCGTCGAGTAGTTTTTGCGCAATCGAGCTCGTAAAGGTCGACACACTTCTCCTTCGATGCACTCCGGGACGCGGCTGGCTTCCAGTGGAAGAGTTTGTTCTTGAGAAATCTTTCAGAAGAGAGACTTTCCGCTCAGAAGGTTCTCTTGTTGGATATTGAATATGCGCCGTGTCGAGAACAAGTGTGTCAATTTTTATGCGATTGTCCGACTCTGTTTCAATACGGTTTGAGTTTTTCACGCAGCTCGGAACGTGCATGGACGGTGTCCAGTGAGAGAACTTGTCTCCTGACGAATTATTGAGAAACAACTTCACCTCATTGGGCATCGGCGTTCCGACTTGCATTGGAAAAACTAAATGCGCATTGAGGCCGAGTACATTTCTTATGCACATATGTGTAAGTTCATCAAGCTCGATACTCGGTCGAGCAAGAATTAAAACTGGTTATTCGTTAAAGAAGGATGTTAACAATAGGCCATTTCAGGTTCACGCTGATGGAATCTCAACTAATCATTGGCAACTGTTTCTGGGAACTTCTAGAAGCAGAAAGTAACAATTGTTTGTCTACCAGTCCAGGACACAGTTATGAAAATCAGGATTTATTATTAATTACTGAAAGAGTCATGTAAAGTCTTTTTAAACTTTGTTTTTAACCTTGATTTGCCTTTAAAGTAACGAATATATATGTTACATATTCAATGTATTAATGTATTGTGTGTAAGGTGTGGGACCGCGTTAGGAAGACATTTGACAGGTAGAATTTCAGCGTCACGGAACCCAGCGAGAATGATGGATATGCATGCACGCTAATAATTTCTTTCATCTCTCCCTGATATTTTTTCTTTATCTTTCAAAGTGTCTCGAGTAAAGAGTTTATTAGATAAGGTTTATATTAGATAAAAGTTTATTAGACTTAGATTTGTAAATAGCAGGTTTTTCCTTTCGGATCCCTCTGCATGTACATACAACACATAAACATTGTGTAAACAAAAGAAAAGCAAATTTCTCTGCACTCATAACTCATCTCTCAAGACACACACAAATGTGCAATCGATTCTATTGTAAAAACATCAAGGGTACAAAGTTTAAAGAATATTTCATGTGACTGTTTAACAATCAATAATAAGTTTGGATTCTCATAACTCGCTTCCTGGTGGACAAACAATTGTTATTTTCTGCTTCTCGATTTCTCAGAGGCGGTTTCCAGTGATCTGTTGAGGTCCTCTCAGAGGACCAAGAATGACCTGCTTTTCGCATCCCCCTTTCTTCTTACACGCTTGAATCTGCACTCAGGAACGAAGTGGTGCGGCAGTGGCAATGTTGCACAGAGTCCGGACGATCTGGGGACGTTCGCGATGACCGACGCGTGCTGCCGCGAGCACGACAATTGCGACGACGTCATCGAGTCGATGCAGACGACGCACGGTCTGACCAACAACGCCTTTTACACGAGGTGAACCTTGCGCGTGCGACGTCTTCGCGTTCTCACCGTCTCGCGGAAGGATCTCGACAGCAATCGCGCGCGCGGCCCTCGAAAATCGATGAACAGGCACTGCGCGATAGCGCGAGTCTGCGTCGGGTCGCGAGTTTCCACGCAACGCCGGCAAGTTCCGTGCGTGTCTTGCCGCAGTTGCGGCTGACGTTTGACGTTGATGAATGAGATGCATTATTGTAAACTTAGTATATTAATTACGCGGGCTATTTCCGTACGGTATGCGACAGGGTAGAAAATGTGTCGGCCGTATTTCGCGATATCGGGGCGCGCACGGTGCATTAAAGCAGCCGGCTCGACGACTTAAAGTCGCGCATGTACGTAATCATTGCGTGTGACTCGTGTGTGAAGGAAGAAGAGGAAGAAGACGAAGAATGAGAGCGAAACGTAGGAGCGGATATATCGATCGTATTCACGCATGGAGAGAATATCACAGTTTCTTTCCGTACAAACTTTCTTCGATTTCGCTGTGTTGTTTTTTTGATAGTCCAAGAATAGACCGTCTTACTGAGGAATATAGTAGATTTCGTTAGAATTTCGTGATAGATTTCTAAGCTGGAAGCGCGCGTGGCGAGTGTTTGAATCCCGGCTCCTGGGATATAAGTATCACCGTATGAAATGAAAGGATAGCAGGATTACGGCAAAATGTCAGTCTATTCCTCGGTTACAAAGTCCTACGGTAATCCGTAAAATTCTCTCTGTGCAGTCGTGCAAAATGTCGATTGTCCGGGATATGGGCGCGGGAAATATTGACACGTAGAAATCGCGTCGTTTTTCCTGGTTTTTCACTTAGCGCACTGAATTTCCGTCGCCGCGTTGCAGAATTCGAAATAAAACAGACGTTCGGCGCGCAGACGATAGTAGTTCGTTACACGTGGAATCGACTTTATGTGGAAGGTACTCGATTCTTAAAGTGCGCTCTATTCGCTTCATCTCCGATCTTCGGTCGTACGTACGTCCGTATACGTCGCCGATATATCATTCGTTCGCTTTCAGACTCGAGTGCTCACCTTCTTTATCTACCCATCTCTATCTATCTATATCTATCTTTCTCTGTCTCTCCCTGTCTGTCTCTTTCGCGCGCATTTCTGCGTGCCTTCCTACGATTGTACGAGTAATTTGAAATTATAATGAAGCGTGGTCGCTTTTTGTAAGCGGTAATCTGATAGAGTGTCGTGAAATGTGCGAAATCAGGCTGCACTGCTCGTGCGACGAGAGGTTCTACGACTGTCTCCACAGCTCGGAGGAACTCGTTAGCGCCAAGGTCGGCTTCCTCTACTTCAGCGTGTTAAACACGAAGTGCTTCCGCGAAGACTATCCCATCGTTGGCTGCAAACGGCATTCACTGTGAGTTGTAAGCATATTAGAGCTTTGCCAGCAGTGGCGGCGGCGATGGTGATGATGTTGGCGATGGCGGTGATGGTGGTGGTGGTGGTGGTGGTGGTGGTGGTGGTGGTGGCACTCGACTTTCAAATGGGTCAGCCACTCGAGAGAGATTCATCGATCCATCGCAATCCTATTTAATACATACACATATATCTGTACGAATCACTTCAATTTCACGCCAAATCACGAATCACGCTGTCTCACGTACTGCCGCACCTACGCCTCCCATCGCGATAACTAAGGTAAAAGTACCAATGCCCGAGAGCGTATCTAATCCTGAAAATTCTTATTGCTTTGGCCTTTAAAAAAATACGGATATTTAACCCTCCGAGAACACACCTATTTTCTCAAGCATAGAGTACACTCTGGGTCAATCTGACCCTACGCTAACTTTGAGGGTCCGCCATTTTAAAACGACGTGTGCGATTAGCTTAAAAAAATTTCTAGATATACCTGAGATATAGAAAAATCACGTAAAATAAATTAAAAATGTCGTTATAATTATTAACATATCTAAAAAAATTCTCAAAAAAATTTTCTTTTGTAAAAATTGTAATTTACAAGAAAAAAAACTATAGATAGAGGGCGTCAATCCCGCCAATTTTCAAAATGCCTTCAACATATTCATGATCAACGTTGAGGTAAGAGTCAAATTGACCCAGTGTGTTCTCGGAGGATTAAACTTTTAGTATAAAAAAAATATGTATATATTTTCTATGTTAACAGTTTAAATATTTCAACACACTCTCAACATAAAATACATATATGTATATTCCATGCTGAAAGTTTAATTCTAAAATCTTAAACATGAGTAAAATTTACTCTCAGGCCAACTTTTCAAATTGTTCTTAAAAGCATGTGTTTTGTTTTTTCATTATAACTTTTTTCAACTTCATTGAATCACAAAAACGTCAATAGATCCCTCGATGTTTTCTACATTGATTTTAAAAATAGGATTGAATTTTTTCGGAAGTTATGAGTAAATGGAAATGCACTGATAAAGTTTACTCGTGTTTAGGGTTTACGTAACTTCTTGATATTTTGGGTTCTAGAGTTAAATATTTGTATTTAAAGACCAAAACAATGAGAATGCCCAGACTCAGGTACGTGTCCGGAAATTGGTATTTTTGCCTCTTATCCGTCTATCTTCTAAATTTCTTGGAGCGGAATCTCACTCAAAACAGGCGTCAAAGGTGGCGGTATTTTCACTCGAAGTAATGATGAAAATACCGCCACTTGAAGTTGCAAGAATTTCAAACTTAGAGTAGATTCTGTATGAGCGAATGTTTCAGTCGATTAGAGTGAATATCCTCCTCCACTCGTGACGGCGGGACGTATCGGATTACGCTTCAATTTCGAGTGAAAATAATCACTGGACCATTCAGAGTAGAGAATTCATTTCACGTGAGTGAAGGTCACTCGAGTTCTCGAGCGATTCTTTCTGATCGCACCACTTCTCGAGTGAAATTTCCCCAGGAAATTTGGAGAGCGCATTTTCGCGAATCAATGTGTAAGTCCCTTCTTCGCACCTACTTCTTTCTAACTGCATTAGCTCGCAATTGTCGTTCTTATTAAAACAGTGGCGTGAGAATTTGGATACCGTCGTTTTCTCTCCACCTCGAAAATTGTCCGAAATTATCGCACCGACCATTATTACACCGGAGGGCTATATTTTCTGCACAAAGAGGAAATACATGTACCGCGCTGTCTGTAGACTCTGGGAGTTAATTTCGAGGGAACCGTGTGATAGCGGGTGCAGGCTCGGGCCTTAAAAGCGCTTTGCTACTAAGAACGACCACTTTAACAAACACACACACGCACACACAACGGCCATTAATTACTCACCGAATTAAACGCGCGTAAAGTTCGTCACATAGCGAAATATCACGACACACGCGTTCGATAAGTGTGGTCCGCTGATCACGACGATACCGTATTTTTCATCTCGGAAAGTCGTCCCCAAAAAAGTCCTGGCTGCCTGTATTTCCTCCCGCAGCACGCTGTGCACGCGGCCTCCCCCACGCATGAGCGAAATAAAAATCTAAGAGGAACCCGCGCGTAATAGAATATGATTGGAAAAACTCGCGGGTTATCGTGAACGCTCGAGGGTTTTAAAGACGACGTGCTAACGACCCCTTGGCAGCATTCCTAGACGCTGTTTGGAGTACGAGCTGGACGAGAGCCAACCGAAGATGTATCAGTGGTTCGACGTGCCCGTGTATTTCCAAAACGGCCAGCGGGTGACAGAGGTTGGCCGTCATATTCGATCACTCGGTTCCGCCGCCGACGACGACGACGCCGCTCCATTCGCGAACTCGTGGAAGTCTATTTCGACCAACGGGGGAAACAACATGCGCTTAGAGGCCGCGTAAATTCGTAGCCTACCCTGTACGCCTTCTGTCACCGTAGTTAAATAAACGCCAATAAAACCGCACTTACGACCGCTTTATTCCCGTTGTCTCGTCTCGCTTTATTGTTCGTTTTTTTTCGTTCGCGTCACCGACTCCTACGTTCTCCATTGTCTCGCTCCGACGCTTTTGGGGATGCATGAGAGCCGCACGCGTGTGACATGTCCGCGTGCGTGTGTATAGCATGCAACGCGAAGGATGCAGAATTATAGAGCGGACGGTCTGCGAAAGTGGAAATTGCGCGACGATCGCGGCCATTAAACACGCCAATCAACCGCCGGTCGTAAAAGCTGGTTCTATTTTTGTTTTACTTCCATCGGCTCGATACATCGGGGCGGTGAAGAGAGAGAGAGAGAGAGAGAGAGAGAGAGAGAGAGAGAGAGAGAGAGAGAGAGAGAGAGAGAGAGAG